GCTAGTATCCACTAGCTTTCGTCAGTGACTGAGAGACCAGAGGGGAAAGCAGGTTTTTATACACAACCTGTTCATTGATATGCAAATAAGGTGAAGACAAATTTTTGGAAGTCGAAAAAGGAACAAAAGTCAGACAAGTCAAGACAAGATGATGCAAATTAGTCTGAAAGCTCCTGTTATACAGGACAGGAGCTTAAGTGTTGTCTGTCCTCGGGGCTGGGAGTGCCAAATCCCAAGTGCCGGAAAGATCGACCCGTAGCCCCCCTTCCCTGTTGAGGGTGGGGTTGTACATTCTTTCATATATTGCCTCTTTAACACCCCGTTCCCACCAGCGTGTTTCGCGATCTAAGACATCCGTGGACTCGAGTTTGAAAGAGTGACCCTGGTTGTGTTGTAGGTGGTCGAAAATAGCTGAGGAGTAGCCGTTGAGGATGTAGCCGTTGGCACTAGGTCGGCAATGTTCTTTGTAATACTATCTTACTTTGAGTGGTCGACGTGTCTCTCCGATGTAGGTGTTGTTACAATTGGGCTCCTCACATTTGAGTCTCTAAATAACATTCGCCTTGGTACCTTTGTGAGGTCGGTCCTTAGGGTGTACCAGTCTTTGTCTGAGGGTTGAGTGAGGTTTGAAGTTAGTGGCTATGTTGAAGTTTTGGAAGATCCGTTGGAGTTTCTCAGATACTCCTTGGACATACGGAATAGTGATGTTGGCCTTGTTTTTGTTGGTCAATGGTTTGCACTTCTGGGTTTTCTTAGACTGATCTGAAGGTTTGAGCGCTTTATTGAAAGTCCAGTTTTGGTAGCCACATTTAGCCAGGGCACCTCGGAGGTGTCTTTGTTCGTCCGTTTTGGCTTGGTCTGAAGTGACAATGTTGTCTGCACGATGGAAGAGAGTTTTGATCACTGCTAGTTTGTGTTCCAAAGGGTGGTGGGAATCAAAAGCCAGGTACTGATCAGTGTGGGTTGGTTTCCTGTACACTTCGAAACGAAGGTTACCATCTTCCTCTACGATAGTTTTGGTGTCTAGGAAAGGGAGCATGTTGTCATGGCTTGGCTCCTGTGTGAACTTGATGTTGTCATCTATCTGGTTGATGTGGTCAAAGAAGTCAGCAGCTACCCTCTTTTTCAATCTGCACCAAGTGTCATCTACATATCGAAACCAGGGTCGATCTTTCCGGCACTTGGGATTTGGCACTCCCAGCCCCGAGGACAGACAACACTTAAGCTCCTGTCCTGTATAACAGGAGCTTTCAGACTAATTTGCATCATCTTGTCTTGACTTGTCTGACTTTTGTTCCTTTTTCGACTTCCAAAAATTTGTCTTCACCTTATTTGCATATCAATGAACAGGTTGTGTATAAAAACCTGCTTTCCCCTCTGGTCTCTCAGTCACTGACGAAAGCTAGTGGATACTAGCTGAAACGTCTGACGCTTTCAAAATCATATCCAGTTGCTTGAGTAACTTTTTTTTGGCATATCGTATTACCTGGATGTCTAACCTTCATCGACGAAGATTTAAATTGGTGCCCTGAAATATTACACAGAAGGTCACAGTTACAAAAGGGCGTGAGACCTTGACTGACCTCCATTAAAAGTTCAGTGGTTATCCTATCATGTAGTAGGCAGATCTAGTTCGCTGCAGGTCTTGTAAAAGTGTAAGACTCCAACTAGATAAGCAGTCAGATGGTGAGTTTTAAGTTACATGTGTCTGGGATTTAGGCCGAGACTTAAAACGTACTGACTTCTTTGCTGTTTGCAGACCTACACTCACAACGTATCAACCCTTAATGATCTGATGACTGATTGAGACTATTAGCTTACAATTGAGTGCATTAAATTCAAATTAAAAGTAAAAAAGTCTTATTGATTGAAAAACTACACTGGAGACATATCTCAGATGTCAACTTTCCGACTTTCATTGTAAGCTTTGGCAAAGATTATTGCCGATTAATTTATATGTATGCTATGTAGAAAGAGTCTCAGTGTTTCTTAAATTTCACCTTTTTAGTAGCTCATCCTATTTTGAAGATAATTCTTGCGAAGCAACATGATACAACGTAAAAGTCAAACTTGGTTGCAGCACAGCAAGTCCAATGTACACCTATTGGGATCCACCCATGGCCATACACGTACATAGTATATTTGTATGCAGGTCAAGTTAGAATCACATGACAACCTACATCTAGACTGTACATGTCAGGTTAAGAACTTTCCTCCAGATCAAGTTTATATTTTAGTGTCATACATTTTTGTAAATAAGGAAACCAAAACTGTCCTAATCAAGGATGCCTAAATCAGTGGACGGCAAAAATAAATACAGTCCAAAGTTGGCGTGTGACAAAAATGGCAACAAAAACACAGGAAGCTCCCCCACAGACAGAAAGAGCAAACTTGGAGACAGTTGAGTCAGAGAAGAAGTTGAACCAAACTGACCCGAGGACTGCTCCTCCGCTACGCAGCTGTTCCGAATGGCGCCGGTGTCTGTGCGGGTGCGAAAGTCGGCGCAGGTGCTTGCCCGTTTCCTCTCGGCGAAGTACGCAGCCTTCTCGGCGATCCGCTGCTTCTTGAGATGATCGAGACTGCTGTGCCTGCTGGCCTTTTCCTTCACAGGAGGGCTGGACACTGTAGGAACAAGATAAATCTGGACTGTGCCATCAGGAAATCACAACAGGGGGAACCTCACTTTCTAAAACCTTTCAAACTTAACACTAGTTGAATTGCAATAAAGTTTCCTTACAACAAACTTCCTTGCATTATTGCACTGGTGATATTTGATGACATGATTTTTACTGGAGATAAAGGACTTGTGAGAAGAGACATTGGACACCCCCGTATGTGAATGTTGGGGTCTGTTGGGTTGAGAGGATATCCTGAGTCCATGTGTGAGACCAGACCATGATGTCAGGCGGTGTCATGTGATACATACAGACCTTCACACTGCCTTCATTTCCTCTCTCTCATGGCAGGGACCTTAACACATATAGAGAGAAGCACCAAGTAGGCCTCTTGGTTAGCAGGAAATTTAGCTCCAATCAGTAAATTGTTACTTTTGGCAATAGGGTTGAGTTTTCGGTACATTTTTTTTTCTGAGAAAACCTTTTGTTGGACTAGGCGAATTTCTGTATGGGTATGTCTGCTTAGCACTAGCAGGTTCATCAGTGTGATTTTATGTTGTACAATGTCATCATCTTGAAACTTTTGATGTATATGGTAGCATCCACCAAAAACTTTTTCAAGTCAGGACATCACTATCTTAAAGGACATTAGGAAAGTGGTGTAGTATGGTGTTTCGCACTGTCACAGCATATAAAAAACTTGGTTTGTTGTGTGAGGAGTCGCCCAGTGTACATGTTGGAGGTGTGTTTATATCTTTAAGTGATTGACCCTAGTGCTATGTTCTTGGTATGAATGACCTGAAAGCCTGCAAACTTCAAAACATCACATGCAGCACTTCTGTCTTTCTACAAATGTACCATCTTATATAATGCATCTTCCTGATATAATATCAAACTGTATATACTAGCTAAAGGACAACGTGATATATCCTGTCCCTCCCCGGGCCAAGGTCGGGCCAAGGTCAGGCCAAGGTCTCCAAATTATCCAAGAAACTTTGATCCAGGTCCAAATCTTGTGATGCTGATCCGCCATCGAGGACGTCCGTTTCCAGAGGACAGGGACGGTCGTAAAAAACGTCCCTGAGTTTCACACGCTATTGCTCTTTCTCCTACTGTCACGGGATATTCAAGGATTTACCCGTAACCTCCCAAAACAGAACTGTTTGCAGTCTACAATGTACTTGAACTCATCAAAGAAAACCCATCATCCAGTACTAGTGATGCAACAATGAGTTCATGTGGCTTTACTGACCACAATCAGTCATGCAACCCCCTTCTGAAAGTCATGACATACAGGAATAGAAATCTACTGTGAGGAGGCTGAGCAAGACATTTCCATGGAAGATTTGGTCACAGCTGCGCAGATGTTCCTAATATTTCCTTATGAAGCAGCTCAGGCTTATGAAAAGCCTCTAAACCATGTAAGGGTTCTAACAACTATCCCTCTAGGCAATCTAGTGTACTTTCTATAATGTGCATTCAACTGGACTAGTATATCCATATTGTACAGCGTATCTTTCCTGCAGAATGCTTTTTCCTTATGCCATTTACAAATGTACATGTACATTTTTGCCTGTCATCTTATGCAAAATAGAATAAAGAAATAAATGTAAAATAGAAGTACTATTAGTATTACATGTACATGTTTATCAAATTCCAAGCAGATGTTGGGAGAAATGGGTAGAACAACTTGTTTAGACAACCAAGGTTGGCCAGATCTTCTTACAAGCAAAATCCCCAGATGAGAGACACCATGCATGTAATAGAAAAACAAACACAGCAGTTCCAGTAATCCCTGTGGGTCCTTCATTAGTATAACCTGATGCCCTCCTCCCCATGCAAGTTAGGACTGTGTCAACAGTAACAGTAGGGGGGAGGTGTAACAAATGGAACAGTTTGGCTATGTCCTACTTTTACATTCAGCTGGTCAGACCAATTAGACTGGCCAGATTCATAAGGCTTTTTTTGGTTATGAATATATTTTGGCACAGTTTTTGATTACTAGTAGATTATATATATATAGAACATGTCTCCCCTTACATAGAATTGAAAAATGCTTTAGAAAACTGCCAAGCCAGATGTTTGTTTGGGTGGATGGGATGAACATTTTTTTCTGACTACCAAGCTGGTATCATCTGGTATGCAGCTCCCCCTAGCTTTCATGGCACAAACTGCATGTACCTTAACATGCCAAAGGTAATCTGTACAATATTAATGTATTTGCAAAATCCAAGCTAGTCTACTTACAAATGTAAGCCTACTTACATGATGTACATGTACAATGTACAACAGGGCCAAAAAAAATCCACCTGCAACCTGCAGAGAAAACTGTTGAAAAAATAATGAGTTGCATTTATGGCTTGACATTTTGCAGGTTTACTGCAACAATTTAGGCTAGGTTTTATATATTTGTGTCTCTACAGGGACCATTTTGCAGGTTTATTGTAACAATTTAGGCTCGGTTTTATATATTTGTACATGTGCATCTAAAGGGACCACTTCTGCAAAAGAACTACCCGGACATTATTCCTATTTTCGAGGCCCTGTACATAATATTTTGCATAATTTTCATACAACTGACCCAAGCATCAGGAATATTGTCAGTAACAGTCACCTGTCTAATATGGCCATTTTCCCGAGTGGCTTCACAACACAGGTACATGGAACATGTCAATAACCTTTATTATTCTGTTATTGGCTCATCCCTGAGTATCAGTGACTCAGCTATAGCAACAGCACCTCAATCCCATACAGCTAACAGCTCCCATGGGCCTTGCTTACCCCAGACCCAGGTATCAATAATTAACATGGAACAGGCGTCTGTATCAACTCGGAATTCTAAGTATGTGGCGGTGAGACTCCTTTGCCCCCTTCCTGACACTGTTTGTACATGTACAAAGGTTCAAATCCCGCCCCCCTAAATTCATTGCCTTCTTGATGCTCCAGTTCAACATCATTTCCTTTTAATATATTTACGTTTCCTCTTCTTCTCCAAACAATGACCTTAATGACCTGAACCTGTCTGTTACCATGGTAACTAGTGTTGGGTTACATCATGTTGCAATTTTATAGCAGGAGGGATTCAGACTCCTGTCTGACCACATATATGAATGTGTTTGAGTATTAAGAATTAACAGAGCAGACCATATGCGAAGGTAAACGATTATGCATTTGCTTTGCAAATGTTACCTTTCTAGTTATTTTAATACAACAATATACATAATTTTGCCTGGTCAGAAACATTCCTAGCCTGGATGCCAGACAGACAGGACATTCCCCAGAGAGACATCCAACTCATTATCTATGGTAAAATTTCCTTGGAGACATGTATTAATCTGAGCTAAGGAGCTACATAGTAGCTAACCTGTGCATTGGCCCTGACAACAGTCTGGCACCCAGGCTAGAAATTTGACTTACCAAGGATTTTATATCCACTAAAACCTCCTTGGACCAACATGTACCTAACAGCATCAAAACATGATGTTTCCAAGTAATAATAGCATTCTCAATATTGTGTTCAATTGGAAGCAGGAATAGAATATTTTCTGGTGTAATTTTTACATAAACATTTTGCTATGACAGTTCCCCTGACAGTAGTGTGTGTGAGTGAACCCCAGCTGCACAAATAACTCATCATGATGACCAAACACTTCCTACTCCTGAGGACTGCATATTGCACACATAGAAAACACTCTAACACAACAGAAGCGTGCAGTTCCTCATTCATAAACAATTGTCTCAGTTTGACCAAGATTTAAAGGATGTGTAGAACTGTGACCAAACTCCGAAGTGCTTTCAAATTGGCCAAATGCAATTATCATTGCTTTCATGCACATGCAAAATTGCCATTTCAAGTGGCACATACAGTAATGGGCTTTTCATGAATCATAGGGCTCTGAGTGGTACTGTAAATTCATTTACTTTTGCAACTTTCTTTAATTTCGCTGTAGTGTGGGTTTTCACATCTCTGTAACATATAATATTACTAGGTACATGTATTATGAAGCTGTGGTAAAGAGGTGACATAGAGCCTTGTCATAAGGAAGAAAGGATGATTGAGTGATTTATCTATTTTGTCACAATAAATTATACAGGATGTAAAATGCTGAACAGTCCTGTGATATCACAACACAATCAAAATCAATCATCATAAAATTCATTACTGATGCAAAAGACAATTAATCCATCACTGCTATGAGGAGAAAAGAGCCAAACCACAGCTTTTTAATTTTAGTAATTTTTTACTGTCCATGTTAAAAGCAGTATGTTTACTTGTACATTGTACTTGCTAGTTGAGTGGTGTCCTCAGATGTGACAGATGTAAATATAGATTTAGATATTGGCATATTTGTCTGGGTCATACCCCTATGCGTACCTTTGTGTACTTAAAATTTTGATAAATATTCATTTTTCAAATCATGGCTCAGAATATCCACCTAAGATATTGAGAATTATTGTGATCCATCTGGCTGGCATATAAAAAAATGAGACTACAAATGTACATCATTTTTCATTCTTGACGTAAACGTGAGGCTGCCTTTTTTTACACTGTTGAGCTGGTTAGTACAGAAATGCAAACATCAATTGCAATTACACCAACATGTAACTTAATGGACCAAGGAGCTTCAAATACGCATGTAGCTTCTATTTGAAGCTCCTGGAATAGATGAAACCTTTCATGATAAATTGTGGCTTTGAAAAAATGTCCCAATATGTAAACATGTTTCTCAGTTAGATATTAATCTCTAAAGCAGATTTTCATATATTTAGTGATTCATAAACATCAGAGTCAGGAAGGATTGCATTAATTTTGAGGTGCATGAAATTGGCTGGACTATTTATCATGCAGATTATCAGCAATTTTCAGCTTGGCTGGAATTATAAGATAAGGTCAACTAATACCACATATTTTTTAAATATCCAGAAGACGGGGACTAGTAGAAACATCCTACCCTAGCCTAATTCTCTCCTTAAATCTAGGTTTGGTCATAAATACAATGTGGTGGGTTCATTGTTGTGCTCAAGGTGTGGCTCTCCTCAAGCAATATATATCTATGAAGGTTACGCATCCAGGTAGAACATAAGACATCCAGGTAGATAATAAATCAAGCAACTGGATAAATTCTCCAAGGAGTCAGACAATTCAGAAAGCGTCCGCTATCTTTCATCAGCTATCCTGGTTGAGTAAATGTTATATTCATCCGTGTGAAATGAAAACAAGTGTAACCAGACTGACCCCTGAAAAGACTTGGGTGAAGGTCCACAAAACAAGGTACAAGGTACAACTGTACGGTACAGACATACAATGTATATACCCACTACTGCCCCCCACCCCTCCAATGGCTGTGCCCAGACGATTGAATTTATGGACGTATCCAATAACTAGAAGGACCTGTGGCTGGGTACTATTGATGAGACTGAGGGACAAGCCCTGCTGATAAAACTGTGTGTGAGAGGAATAATGATTGCAGGAGGGTGTGAAAGGGGTTCTTTAATATCATTCCTGTAAAACCATTATGCTGATGAGATTTTTTTTTAATCAAATAAAATCCTTGGTGCTTTTTCAGGATCAACATGTTAGAAATCTGAATATGACTAAATGAGTCATGACCCAGAATCTAAGATTGGTTCTAATTATTCACTTCTAAGGACCTGAAAAATTATTTACAATGTCCTACAGTATTCCATATTTTCTCCATGTGGTATGTTGAGTTGCAATTGGTTGCAGCTCAGGGCAGGTGGGTATCAACTACATAGTACCCCCCGGACAGTAGCGTACCATCTTCAATTTTTATTTTCTAGGTCACTGATAATAAAAACTAGGCAGTAAATGTAATATGGGAACTATAAATAACCGAGAGGCAGTCACTAGTTTATGTTCTACATTTGAGACACCCACCTGCAACAGCAATCCGCCATTTACAGAAATACTTTTCTGATTGCAACAAAAAAATACAAGGCTACTACGATTTGGCAAGCTGAAAGAATACAGACTCAATATGAAGACATTTTATGACAATGATCTTAATGGCCAAAGGAATAAATGCAATATGTTGAATATTAACTAAATGAGAAAAGGATATTGTGCATCACACATTACAGTAATAAGTGATTTGAGCCCTGATATGGAATATCTTACAGAAAGCAGAATGACCCCCCACCCCCTGTAGACCCCCTAACAGTTGTAGGTGAATATTTCCATGCAGGCGGTTATATGGGACGTGTATGAATCATGCAGGCATGTGAATATAAATGGCTGGCCTTGAGTCAAGGCCATACAATCCATTTCCCCAGTCCTGGGTAGATGGTTCTCCTTTCCTCTGATGTGTGCAATGAGCTGATAAAGGCTGGGGACTTCTGGGGGTGCCAATGGAAAGAGGGGGGTGGGGTGGGGGGATGTATAGTACAGTAGGTCTGACACAGCCATTCTTGCTTGTTCATTCATTTATTCCTTTGCTAATTCATTCATTCCTTTTTCCTGTTAAAATTTCATCAAAAAATCATGAAAATGATTTAATTGGGCCTATCAACCACTTCTTTGTGTTACCATAACCCTGTTCTTGTATTAGTCTTTCCCCTCCAATCATTGTGTGTTTATGATTTTAATCTTAAAACTGAAACTGTAACGTTATGTTTATCATCGATTTTCACAAAACCTCAAGTAGAATTGAATATAATTATTATAAAACTGAATTTTCATGATTCAGAAACGCCGGATCACCTCCGTTCATGTGTACTGTACCTCCTGAATATTTTTAGCAGGATCAAACCAAATCTAACGTTATACAGGATGCACGATATCAAAGGTGTGACCTTTGGAGTATGCGTCGCGCCTATTTTCTAACTTCCTCAGGCTATATTTATGTAACGGTACTTTACTATAGTTCTCGTTACCCATATACTGGTACTCACCTTCGGCCTCTGGTCCCGTGCCCATCGACATTTCCTCATTTACCTCCCGGATCGGTTCTCAGACAAAGAAAACATCGGAGCGGATTTCTCCCCTCTGCCCTACGGGGTTGCGTATTCTCGCGCCCTGTCCATTCAAATGTGCGGCGATCAGACAATCAACCCCGTTACGTTAGCGTGTGACTCAGGGCTCCGCGCTGGCACAATTTACTACATTTCGGACGCTTCCCGCAAGCCAATAACGTCTTCATATGGACATGGGCGGCAGTAAAGGTGCGGGTTCGCGGAAACCCGGCCGACAGAGCTGAGATGAGTAAGCTTTGTTTGTAAAACAACACGGAAGATCATCACTTCCACTTCCTCTTCTAACCCGGAAGTTGTGGTTTCTAATAATCCTGCACGCAAAGGATGATGGGTGCGCGCCAATTTCAATTTTTTTAAATCCCCAAATTAATGCTCGCTCGTTATTGTTTAATCCAACAAGCGTTCAAATTTAGTAAAAAGCAAAAAGGAGTGTAGTGTCACCCCATCATCAAAACGGAATTGAACAAAAATTCCTTCCTCCCTGTAACTAGTAGAAATGGAATAGTCCGGGCGTGTCAGATTGAAAGACTACATCAGCGATTGATGTTATATTGCTTATTTCAAAACGAAAACAGAGAAAATGTAGAACTAAGGGATCCTGACTCCAACAATGTATCATTTGCCGTGTTTTCGTAGAAACCAATTGTAAGTAAAGAAATGGTAACACTGATTGAGTTACTAGTACCGATGACACAACACCTTTTCTGCCGGCTGATATGACGCGGGAAAAACTTCCTCATTTGTATGAGGGGAACATCTAGCGTAAATGTAGAGTTAACTGAACTAGGGAACAGGATCCATGTGTACCGCATTTCTGCCCAAATTTAAACCGTATGTACATATGGTACACTTATAAGCTAAGCCGAGAGATTATTAAAACAGTACAGTACTGTGAAATTGTGAAATGCCATCACCAGTAATGAATATACAAATTCATAGTAATACCGTGATAGTAGAAACAAAACATTACAACAAATCACTAAACAAGCCACAGGACGTTATTATTGGGGGTATTTAGAATACTAGTATAAGAATTCAAAGGTAACAGGGAAACAGAGATAGAGTATAGTAGAATAGCAGGAACCAGCGTGTATTCTAGCTATAAAATACACATGATCTAATCGCTGTTTTACTAATTGATATCAATAACCATATGGTATTTGACTTGTGCCATTAAAGATACATGTTTGTCCCAAGAATAATCTTATTATACAGGTCACAGAAGCCGACCTTTAGGTTCGATAACATGATTAATGTCATCCATCGGTCTACTTAATCTAGTTTGTTGTCCGTCTATATATCACAGATGTCTGTCAGTTATTGTGAAAATGGTCCTAGCTGGAGCACTCAAATTTATTTACCTGACTGTTAGAGTTGCAAGCGGTTGGACGTCAATATTTGAAATCATGCTTTTTACTGTTCCGAAACAATTTTCACGACTTTGCCCCGAGGGCCGTGGGTGCTGTCCTTGGTGCTGATATGAACATTCAATGGAGACATACCCCAACCCCCGCCCCAACCAGTAAGCGTTTGCGTCACGATTTTTTTCTTTCCTGAGATAGCTCGTCTTGTTATCGCTTGTTAGTGTTTCTGCTTGTAATAGTCTGCTTTTTTTTAGCATTTGAAGTGAAAAATGGCGAGACTGAAATTGTTTAAAAGATCAGGTGTACTGATTAACGTGCCCCCCCAAAGCGTTGCGTTTCAGACCAATTACAACACTTCCACCTCGAGATTCAATCCACATTACAATTAGCGTGCTCAACTCGGTTCAGAATTTAGATACACGGGTCGCGATTTGAACCACTGACCAGGAATTAAAAACAGTTCAGCTGGCTAGAACGCTAGAATACGACTACACGCTGCATGGATGATTTTACAACTTACCTCCACACAACACCGACCACTTGCCCTCCTTCCACTCTTCATGAGGCGCACGGCGTGGTGAAAATCAAACCGTGGATGTGAGTGACCACAGCGGCCATTAATCCTGCCAAACCATTTGATTGGCCTGAGTAAGCCATCTGTGCCCGAGCGGGTTGACGTCATGACGAAGAGAACTGTTGAACAGCTCCGACACTTGATGGAGTGGGTATCGTTAGTCGGGAGCTATACGGACGGAGTGAGTCACAATATTGGGAATCATCCCATACATACCACGGGGTGAGTACGCGCGGTAACACTAAGCACAGTACGTAACGTCGTGAGTCGTCTGTCCGCACACCTTAATGAGTATGCAACATGTTTAAACCATCTTTCCCAATCATCATTTTTGTCAGTAAAAAATAAATAAAGTAACAATATTACATAGGTGGATAGCTCCTGATGATATATTAGGCCATGTTGATTATATGAATGACATCCTCTGGGAACCCCAAAACTGATGCGAGCGTGCGAACGAAAAAAGTTTTGAAAAAAAAATTAGTTGCTTTTATTATGAAATCTACGTGGTCATGAAGGTTGAACAAATAACACAGAGTATAGTATGGCGAATAAACTGCTCTTCAAATTCATTTCTTTACATTTTCGTCTTTTTCGTTTGATATAGATCTCGGCATTCTACGACATTGGTTTCTTTTACTGCGATTGTAGGTTATATGTTAGTAGCATAAAGTGGCAAGGATAGCCTTCTGTTCCATATATCATCTTGCACACAAACATGGTTCTGATTAACTAGTTGTTAAGCATTGCTTAAACCGCTTCAATTCTCCTTGATTATATATACAAATTTATATTGCACACATGGATTCAGCGTTTATAATATCATACACTATTGCGATTTGCCAATTTCAAAATTCCCTATATATATGGCACACGATTAATACCAAGCAAATACTTTTGTGCATCAATTATGTTGCTTCACATGTTGGGATCATTGCATGGAAATCGATCAAGATAAGTACTATTTGTGTAAGACAGACTCAGTCGTTTCGTCCATCAACAACACAGCGCAATTTTTTTCTGACGGCAAATACCGAGAAAACGAGAACCATATTACATCAGAAAACGTAGAAAAGGGACACAGGCGCTGCTACCGATAGCAGTGAAGATTAAACATCATAAAGAAAACAGTTGTTCTTTCTAATGAATACTAATATTTGAAGACAAAGATGCAGTATTTGTCGGTGTCCGTGACCGCCACCCTGCCGTCCAGCCCGTCCCAGCCCACTGCCACGGCTATGGGCGCCTCCAGCCCGTCTGCCGCCGACGCGATCACCTTCAGGAACCGCCCGTCCCGGTCGAACAGCTGCACCCGCCGGTTCCACTTGTCCGCCACGATGATGTTCCCTTCTTTATCCACGCACAGTCCCGTCGGCTGTCCAAACTGCCCGTCGCCGGATCCTTTGGACCCAAACTCTACCCGTAGAGTCCCCTTATTGTCGAACACTTTCACCTTACTTTCGTAGAACAGCGAGAGGATCAAGTCACCGTTGTGCTGACTGACTGTTAGCGCCACCCGCTTGGCACCGACCTTGGTACTAAAACGACCCACCTGTTGGCCCGATTTGTCGAGGATAACAATCGTTCCCTTCATGGCGACGGCGAACCCTTCCTCGTCAGGCATTTCTGCGGCGTCTTGTATCATGTCGTACCCGATGGACAGCTTCTTCCGGCTCGCCGACAGTCCGTCGGCGGAGTGCGTGTAGATCATGTTTGTGTTCTTGTCGGAGTCGGCGGGGGTCTGATGGATCGGGCCGGCGTTACCGACGAACGTCACCTGTCCGTCCTTGTCGACGATGAGCCCTCCGGAGTTTGCCTTCAACCCGAGCAGCTCAAAACTGCGGATGAAGGTCCCGATGAAGTCGAAAACCTGCACGGTGGTTCTCAAAGACTTGTCCAAGACGTAGACGTAGCCGTCTCTCACGGCGACCGAGAAGGGGAACTCGAACTCGCCCTCCGCCGTCCCTCGGCGTCCGAACTGGATCTTGCGGGGGAAGTTCCCGCGGGGGGAAAGCGGCGTGCCCGGCACGACCACCACGTGTGGAGACCCCGGAATTTCCTCAGCTTCTTTCTCTACTGGTGACGGCTCAAGGCTCACCAACTTCTCGGGTTCAAAGTCCTGACTGTTGTCCGGTTCTTTGTCCGAGGAACAGAACGTGTCCGTCGCGGTAAAGATGTCTCCGAGCTTGACTTCCTTCCCGAGCTTTGTCGGTAAGAACTGGATGGAGGTGCCGAGAGGTAGCCGCACGGGCCGCCGGCTCCGCATGTGCATGTACTCCGTCAGGTGTCTGATGGTGGTGATGAGGTTGACAATGTCCTGCGTCTGTCGCGCTTCTTGAATAGAATCCATGGCGCCGAGAAGCTTGGCAAGATCGTTCTCAAGACGCTGCTTGTCCTCAAAGATGATTGACCGCTGCACGGCGAACTCGGACTCCAGCTGCTTCAGGAGGTTCGACTTCTGACTCTCGATCATCTTGAGCGCGACCTGCGCGGCGGCGTGGATCTCCGCCCGTTCCCCGTCCACCTGCCGCACCAGCCCGCCCTCGTCGTTAGCCAGGTCCTGCAGCTGGGCCAGGATGCTGTTCACGATGCTCCGGGTGTTGTTCTCTAAAGTCTTCGCCTCCTCCAGCTTCTGCGCAAGGATCTCCTTCAGACGGCTGACCCGGTGCCCGCTGTGTTCGTCCACCATGCACTCCGCACAGATCATCCGCTCGCAGTCCAGACAGAAGTATCTCAGCTCCTCCTCCTTGTGTAGCAAACACTTCTCGTGGAAGCCTCCCCGCCGTCTGTCGTCGTCCTTCTTCGTGGCCATGAGCAGGTCTCGCATCCCGCCGATCCAGAAGTTCCCGGGCAGTGCCTTGATGCCGCCGTGGGGAAGGTCGATCTTCCGGCGGCAGTTCGGGCAGCAGAAGGCCCGCCCCCTCTTCGCGAAGTTCTCCAGACATTTCTCGCAGAAGGTGTGGCCGCACGGGAGGAGTTTGGGAGTCTTGAAGTCGTCCAAGCAGATCCCGCAGAGAAGAAGATCCTCCAGGCTGTGAAGGGACTCCCTATCCGCTCCTCCTACCGCCATCTTAGGCAAAGTGAACACGTTACTGTCTGTAAGGAAAAACAGCAGAGAAATTGTAAAATTTATGATTTATAGAAAAAATATTGTATGTACACGTATATGTTTTACATGCAGTGATATTTATTTCCCTGCTAAACAAGAAAATCGATAGATATTTGTAAGAGATAAAAACAATAGCATTGATTATGGAGCATTGATGGCTAGTACATGCACCTGCACTAGTACGCTCATTCAAAGAGGATAGTGACCGGTATCCAGGCTATGTGCATTCAATGCCACGTCCTAACACTAGAGCCGGGTTATATAAATGGTACGACAAGCCGTCTTTGTGCATTTCCCGTCTCGTGTGTCTGAAATCAGCATTCCCCGCAACCCTCGCTCGGCAGGGCGATCAGATGCCTGAACCGTGCCGTGTTCAGCCGGGTGGAATTACGTTAGAATGGATCTGATGTTGAGTCCTGCGCGATCGGCGCGACTCTACTCCATCTTTCTCCATCACCAGATAATCGACAGACCACTTAGTTTGGAGATATCAATGGCAGTAAATGGGTACCGGTTTATCTCAGAGGCTGCCTGGGCTTTTTCAGTCAGTAAATAACGTGAAAAAAACGCAGCACTTAAAGGCAGTCCCATCTAGCCTTTATCTTTTCATACCTCTAATTTTAATGCTCAATCGATTAAATGCTATAGCCTACCTTTCAATGTAACACAATAAGTTCACTGGCGCGCAGTGGCGGCTGGTTACATTACTGTAGTGTTACATTAGTCACGTTGTCACAATTAAGCACTGCACGTGCACGCCTAAGTCCCATCCGTACGGGCTTAACGCTATATTATGAACAGGCTTCTACCCCCCCCATTGAATCGCAAGTCTTACATACAGATGGTGAAAATGAATGTCACCATTATACATTATGTACGTGTTGTGTTCGTTGTTTCCCCCCCAAAAAAACAACAACGGTAAGATTATATTATACTAGTAGTATGATTATATCAAATGTATCCATGCGGATTATTTCATAATGAAAATTTCGACTGGCATATGTGAAAACGGGGATAATGATGGCATGGCTAATCTATGATGACACTAAAAATATCCTCGTTGAAAGAAATGAGGCGGTTCAGATCTTTTCTTGTGGCCATTTTTATCTTACATCAAGCATAAGGGACAGGGAATGAAGGAACACCGTAGTTAAGACTGTATGTTATCTTCCTACATACAGCACAAACAACCCCTGCCGGCCCCACGCTAACGGTACAGCAGTGCTACCGGCTGATGCACAACGGAGCAGCGGCACAGTCATGCCGTGGATGCGGGGAGCGTACATCTTAGCTACGGCCTGTGGTCGGAGGAGGGATAGAGGAAGGGATGGTTCTTACCTTGAGGAGAGAAGAAACCACGGCGCGTCTTAAAGGAGTGCTGGTGACGTTGGCGTTTTATTACGGGTCATTTGGAATGGCCCGCAAAACAAGTGCACACAGGGGAGAGGTCATGGGTCAAAGGTTGGCCGTGTGATTAGTTTAGGAGCATCTTTTCATAATGTGGCTGCGGGATTGCCACGGGCTGTTCCATATAGACATGGCGAAGAAAATACTAGTATGCGAAAATATGATAATACTAGAAAGGTAACATTTGCAAAGCAAATGCATAATGTTTATCTTCGCATATACTAGTAGTCTGCTTTATTTGTTGATTCTTACTCAAACACATTAATGTATATGATGGCAGGAGCTCGAGTCTAAATCCCTCCTGCTTTAAAATTGCAACATGATCAAGTCAAGTCAAGTCAAAGCCTTTATTTTCCTTCGAATGCTTGTTCGGCGCAAGGCCGCTTTTCAACAAGGTCGAAGTTGAGGGGAGGGGTCACGGATAAGAACCAAATCAATACAAACATAAATAATAAGTAATTAAATCAATACAATAAGTAAGTAAATAAGTTCACAAATAAATCATTAGGTTCGTAGCCAATTCAAGTCCATGGTGAGTCCCAGTTATGTCTGTTCCATAAGTGACTTGAAGGTATGGATGGATGGTGCTGCCCTAATGTGGGGCTGGATGTTATTCCATACCACTGAGCCGGAGTAAGCCAAGCTTCTTCTGTAAGCTTCCAAGTGCGGCCTCGGAGGGATGAGACAGTCAGTAGAATGTGTAACCCGAGACTAGTTCCCATGGTAGCAGCCGGCTGGTTCAGGTCATTGCCCTTTTGTGTTTGAAGAACAGGAAACTGAGCAAAACAATATATATGCTTTTCTTCGGTAAACATAATTACTTTCCCAAAAATATACTTTCCCAAAGAGCACAATGCGTTTAAGGATCGCAATCAAAGGCAACATGTTGCCTCTACAATGCTCCACAAATCAATGCTCCATTAACTGTTCTTTTGGGATGTTCCACTCGATACGTTTTGACGGGGGTGTTTGGAATGCATTGTCACCACACATCTGCTTGGATATTAGACCCGGTTACACTAAGCTTCACCCAGAATACCAACGTACAACAGTAAATTCTTCAAAGAATCTTTATTACCAACACTGTTTATACTTGCAAGTGAGCGTCCCTTCTATTCTAGCCTTGGCTTTGGGAAACAAGCTCTTTCGGCTTGTCTGCTAAAACATGAACATAACATCGCTAGAAGCTAATTCAGTTGAATTCTTCCTCTACACAATTACAAGAAGTAGCACCATAGATACGCACATGAGAATTTCTTTGTAAAAAAAAAACTTGGCACAAGTAATTAGCAACCGTATGACTGGACACACGACATGGCGCCTGTTGAAAGTACATGTAGTAAAGGAAATTATATCGCAGATAGACAGCGTATTCGTCTCAACGCCATCGCCTCCCAATCTTATCCTTATAAAATACAATAAGTTACTTGTCTTCAATAAGTAGCAGTAGAGGTTATGAGTCCGTATGGTTCGAACTGCTGTTTACAGCTGTATAAATTATGTAAGTGTCCCTATTTCATCAGTTTTGACAGCGCAAATGCATTTTGTGACGGGAGGAACAAAACTGCCTGCAGTTTCTTTGTGCTTTCCTTTGCAACGATTGAACATCCCATGCATGGCCCGGTCGGTCTGAGTCCTACCGAACGCATGTTGGCGGCCTGTAGTGGATGACAGTTCCGCTAGAGGACGCCCCTACTCGGCCGAATCCTGTCAGGTTGCCCAACCATGTTCTTGTCTTCCTCTCGGCACTCTGTTGGCTGGTGGCGCCGTTGACTGCCGCATGTCCGCCGAAGATGTGCCAGACCGACCCCAGGACACGCCCCAACTTGCTCGGGTGGCTGTTGCTGTCTCCTTTCCCGTCTGAGTGAACCTCGGGCTCCTGAAAAATAGTGAGATATTTTTACATATCAATGAGTGTTGTCTTTATTATATAATATGTGACCTCCACAAAGAAAACTCGACAAAGCACGCCGTTTTGCTAAGACAACAATGATGAGACAATGTTGAGACAACCTATCAAAGAACAACATGGCTCTACGCCTACTTTACATACTGAGTAGCTTGTTTCTAAGCACAACTTCGGTAACACCCGAGACAAGGGCTGTAAAAATAATGCTTAGGAATGCTAAACAAACATTTGTGATATGATTACAGCACAATCTTTCCATCAGCCGCTCATCAGGAGCGCTTAAGACGAAGGTTTGAGTATCTAGGAACAAGAAAAAATTAAAAATATAAAAATACACTATACAGTTACTCTCCAGGCAGAGTAAACAAAAACCCAAACCTCTGCTTGGATAAAGTTTGACAATTGTTTGTGTTAGGGTAATGGTGATAAAGAAATTTGATAAACATACAAGAAGGAATGCTACATTTTCTTCCACATTGTTCTTAACTGGAACCTGTATCTGTATAATCTTTATCCTTCGGATAAACACACTATGATTAGATTATTACATTTGTCTCGCCTGACTACCTCACTTGACAGCTTCACAAATTAGTGAAAGCCCCCCCCCCCCCCCCAACCACACA